GTCACCAGGTCTACGGTCGACACCGATTTCGAGAACCCCTGCTCGTTAAAGATGGGAACCTGAACTGAGTCGTATTAGGTGAACACAACAGTGTATGTCTAGCTCCTTTTTTTTCTAATAATTTAGGCTCTTAATAGCAGCTATTACATTTGGCCTTAGTCACTATCTATCTGAATTATTCACTACTAACAGGACTTTAATTTTAGCAAACAAAACTTTAGGGGCCCTTCTAGCTTGTAGGTTTTAATGGAGTTTTTTTAATGCTAACTAAAGTAAGCATAGGAGCGCACGTGAGGTTTTAAGTTTGTAAGTGTCGACGGAGTAAGAATCTCGGGCGGCGTGGAAAGAGCTTCACGTAAAATTTACTCGTAGAAGAGACCTATGTATTTTTGGGTCTCTGCAAATAAATTCGTTGTCTTCAGTGGCGCGTCTCAACGCCGAACTGTTTTATTAGTACTTTAAGTGCTAATATTATTGAGGACGTACCGTCAAGACTAATAGTAAAAAAAAAGCCTAGACTTAGGTTTTTCGATTTAAGCGATTGTGGGCTATCTAATTGTCTAATAATTAGACGCTCGAGAACCTGCCGCCGAATTTTTAGTGCTGCTACTTTGCAATTTCCGTCGATAGATTCTTATCAATTACCTGATCTAGTCTGATTCGCAGTTACGAAAGGGTTCCGACAACTTCATTAAGAATCAGGATCAGAACTGAGGATTAACTTTATTGCATTTAATGCTGACGAAAAACAGTTATTTAATAAATAAGCATTGTCAAGTGATATCTGTTTGTTAGGTACCACAAAGCTTCATTTTTTACGAAATCGCACAGTATACAATCGAAGTAAGCGCTCTGACTTCAACATATCAGGAATTAAATGATCACACTGTCCTTTCGACGTTCGAAATCGAGTACACCTTAATCTGGAAATGAGTAAAGCTTAGCCACAAGAAGCTTACTATTGGCTTAATGTACAATATTTGCCGTGTTGTTGATTTGAGACGACTGGAGTGACACTGTTCTACTTAGTCTTATTTTTATTTAGTAGTCTTGAGTAATTATTTTTTAAACAGCTGCTGAAATTTAAAGATGTTGCCATCTTTCATTTACTGCCACCCGTCGATGTAAGATAGACGTATCCACTCAGCATACTTAATTTAGTTCAAATGCATTTATAGTACTAAAAACACAAAAAAGCCAATCCTATAGTCCTAAAACTCCATAAAATTAGACGACCACCTCAGCTGAGTAAAAGAGGAATAACGTGATCAAGTGCCTGCTTATGAATCCATTCCTGTCGCAGTAGTACAACTGATTTCGATAAGTAACTCTCGGTATGTAACAATACACATAACTTTAAAGTGAATTTCAAAGAAAGTTCAAAGAAACGTGAAAAAAATTACTTTGAAGAGAAGGCTAAGCAAATATTGAGCGAGTTGCAAATAATTGAAGTATTATTTAGATCGATAGCACAAGTTTTTTAGCATATTATTAACAACTGTAGGAATAGTATTGACGCATTTGCACGTAGCGTAGTATTTTTCGTATACGAAAAACAGTTTTTATAAAACCGCTTTTCGTATACGCAAAATCAAATGCATAGTTTATGGAGAAAACAGCCGTAATATTAAGACACAACGTCCTACCATAGTATCATCCACGTTGGTATCGATCATTTGCAGAATAGTACCGACTTTCTTTATATAAACACACAATCGAACCGTTTACAAACACTATCCGTAGCTTTGTAAACTGGCTGAAATCTATAACGAAACACTTATTAATTTCATGTTATGACGTACGCTCAGGACTTGCTACAAGGGGTTTTTCATGACGTCACCTTTACTCCAGTGATGAACGTTCTCTTACTACCAGTAGATTGGAGCCGTCAGGACTCCCTTGATGTCCAAAGTAACTTATTCTAGATACTGCTTATGCCAGTCTGAAGCCATTATGCATCAGTTCAGTGAAGGGCTGATTTACCGATCGCATCTCGATGGGTGCGTGCGTGTAACCTTTGCATACATCTGAGTAATAATAGTTAACTACACAGAGTATATAATTTTTACGCGTCTAATACTATTTACTATATGATCCTTATCATATAGATATTCATTTCGAATTAGATATTCATCAATCGAACATTACGTTCAACAAATGTAAGTCAACCAGTCATTGATGCTAATTTTTAAAGCCTTTAGGAGACCATGTCGCTAAAATGAGATGATACCCGAAGACCATACGTTTAGAGTGTTTGGAATACGAGTTCATTATCGTGCATCCCGTCTGTAGCCTTTAAGTGTAGTGGTTCTGGTGTGCGTCATCAGCGTATCTAATGGTACTGATAGTTGAGATCTTTTGTATTAGACAATAAGACTCAATAGTCTATTGTTGTTCTCTCTCTCAAAGTAGTGCTTTTTACCATCAAGGGGTGATCCTAGGTAACCCAAGCCTTTAACCCTATTGACAACCTCTCGAGTTTTACGAGGATGATTGACCATCTTTTACTCAAGTCATAGAGTTTCTAGGCATGTCCTACTATTTTCTTACGATTTAACAATGTCAATCAACAGATTCACATCTGCACTTTTCCTACACCTAAAATACTTTCTATTTATATCTTCTAAAATTAGGTAATCTCCTTAATTGTTTAACTTCGCACGAGATATAGACGTTGGTGAAGTCTCTGTAGTACATTTACGTACTAATCATATGCTAGCGTGGTAAATCTACCTCTTGTAGACGTGTGGCTCAGCATCCGCAGTTGAACTTGCCATCTGTGCTCTTCTTTCTTCTATTATCTATAATAACTGACTAAATAATACATGCCACACTGTACAGTAAGGCAAGAATCTTTGTCTAACAGACGGACATTTTCCTTTTATATACACTCTTTAACTTAGCAAAAAACTAATAGAAATTTATGACAGATATTTTATAATAGTGACAAATTTTATTTTTATCAATAGTGAAGCGACGAAATATAAAAGGATCAATGCGTATATTTTTTTTGAGAATTGGCAAAAATTGCTTTCCTTGGACAACACATTTGTACCTGAACGCATTTTTCTCTTACAATTCGGATCGTATCAGATGCTTGCTTTTTCCCAGTGGCTGTTCTCGTGCAATTGTATTTTAAGACTGTTGTCCTTATTTCAGCAGAAAGGCCGTTAGCTATTCTTAAACACGTTAGAGCAGCTGAAAGAATGGCAATATAACATACGCATTTTCAAATGCCACCTGGGAAACCTGTTTCACCTAAGACATTTTCTTTCGTATTACTTCCTCGACGGCGATGCCTCAAGATGATAAATATCTTTTTTTACATACTTCGATTTGCTCTCAAATGAAACAACATTTAAATCTATTTTTTTTTTTATTGACACACATCTCCTTTGGTTTCAACCGATTATATATATATATATATATATATATTTTTTTTTTCTCTTAGATAAGCCTGTTGTTCATTTATGGCTGTCTCTTGCGAAATAATTATAATATTATTTTGTAATTCACAGAAAACATTAATTTTCTTTATTAACCAAGAGCAGCAGCCTGTTTACAGTGGAATCGGGGCATGACATAAACATGAACAAGAATAACAGTAATAACATTAACACCTTTTCACAAATTCACAAGTATATACCTCATATGCCCTATAACAGTTTGTTAAAAAGATATATATATACATATATATACATATTCTTTATTTTCTACAATCGATAGTAAGTTAAATTTAGCCATACCTGCGGACAACCGTAGCAAACCTTGTCCTGATACAAAAACTAGCAAGTTGGATTTTTAGGAGTCATCTAAAGAAAGCAGTATGGAAGTGAAGCTTAGACTAAGACATAAAGTTATTCAAATATTTCCTTTTCGCTTTACATATTCATCGGTCATTTACTTATAGATTACCGCTTAAATGCGTTTGATCAGCACGCTCACTATAATTTCGTTTTGTAATGAGCGAAATTTTATCTTGAAATCGGGCTCTAAATATAGATGCTTCAGGTGAAAAAAAGCGCATTTGTATGATAGTTTTCTAGCCATTTTTTGGAGTTAGAAAGCTGGGCCAAAAACCGGCTCAAAAATGGGTTGGATGGGTCAAAGCTAAAGCAACCTGGGATATTGGTGCCGCCTGTAGTAGGGACTTAATTAATGAAAAAACAGTGTGGAGATTTTTAGCTACATTTGAAAGTGAGATTCTTATCTTGGAGGAGGCGTATTGTTCCGGCCAAACCTCCGAAATCGATGAAGACCACTCAAAGGCACCTTTGAACAAAGACGGCCGGGCCGGCGCCCAATTCTTGAGTGCATCCTAAAAGAATGGACCGCGAATAGTCGGTCATTGTAAGGTATTCTGAATCTATATGATTTTGTTAAAAGTTATCAAAGACTCTGGCTGCAGCTCAGCACAGTGGTTTATCGCCTCTCGGCATCTCGTCCCACATTGATTAACAAGCAATGACGGATTCCTACGCAGACTTGTGGCAACTAATGAGAAATGGTGTCTTTATGCCAATATGTAGGAGACAAAAAGGTTAGGTTACTTGCGGAGATTTGTCTAAACCTGTTGAATCAGACCCTATCCGGAAAAAACAACGATTTGGGTTCGGCACATGGGATTATAGGTAGAAGTAGGTTGAAAAATGGTTGAAATCAAATCGCAAGGCGAGAGGAACGAGAGTTCAACGGTATTATTATTCACGACAAATAGTATTCAGCTGAAATATGTCCGGATAGATATATTCTCAAGTTTCTATGTAAGACTGGATATTAATAAGGTGGGCATGACCGTCTAGCGACCATTAAGTCGGGAATGCATTTAAAATATTTGGTTTTATGGTGAACACCGTAACTATGATATTAGCAAGAAACGACTAACGACTATAATATTAGAAAAATGATTATTCGAAATTAAGTTACAATATCATTGGAGCATGATGGTCTATTATGTCATGACAGACATTTTATTTTGGTATCAATAATTATTGCTTTTCATAAACCGATTTTACGATCTTTTTATACAACCCCGTACACGTGTAGACTCGTAACCAAAGCCGGAATCATTTGCCATCGGAGGCGCTTCATTGCTCACATGTCTTCCTCAAGCCATCCTCGGCCAGGATGCGCGATGTCCATCATGTCTGGCGGATTCGACCTGCAACTGGAAAAGGAAACTTGCTTCGAAAAACATTGTATACATATAGATCCCACTTTGAACATAACAGCATAAACTTCTGGCAAAGTAACGCCAGACAGCCAGGTTCAACCAATGTAATAAACAGATTGACAACGTTCGGGATTTTCAAAAGCTGGAAGCAGCGCCTAATACAGTGGATGTAATGCGAAACGTGATGCCCGGTTGAGTTTAAAAAAATCGATGGAATAATGTCTGAGAGGTGCATATCGTTAATATGTGCAATACATTTGCTTCCTTCAGCATTAGTGTTTCTGAAGAAACAGGGAGCTTCAACTGAGCTATAGACGATGCGACTATATAACTATGAACGTAACAATAACAATTACTGTCGGAATTTTACAGGATCGCGTATATTTTGATATACTCATATCAAGCCCTGCATTGGGACACTTGCGAGGAATTTTTAGGCACAACGAAACAAGGGCGATACGAAGAAATTCTAAGTATCACGAGTGTACACCCGCTCCAATAAGTTTTAAACAAAAATGCCCAGGAATATCCCACCATGAAGCCTTTTGTAACTAGGACAATGAACTTTGAAGTGTCCCTAGCCAAGATGATGTTGTGTTAGAATATTTCGCCCAACAGGAGTTGGCTATAGGGTGATATGTGAAGCAGTTAATAATTTCCGTCACAACAGCATCGAAGAGAAGATAGGAAGACTATAAGGTCTTGTCTACTTTTCTAACCTTTTTTTTGTACATACGTATCTCACATATCAAGTGTCAAACAGAAAAGCTTTACAAAGTAATCTTTTTGTCAGAAATTAGTTTAAGCGGTCAATTCGTTTGTCTTCATATAATGCACAATACCACAGTAAATTGGCATGCGCTGTATCAAATCCGTTCGGTTCAAGAAAAATTAAAGCTTTTGTGATAGCCCAAATTAATGCCCACATAATTAAAGCGCTTGGTATTCAAACAAATCATAGACCATTGTATATGATCATTATGACATAATCGACCTTTTCTCTCTTAACAACTCAGTCTAGTGTTTATCTACGCTAGTAATATGACTGAGTCATCGTAACCCATTATCATGGTGATCAGACAAAGCAGCTTTAATTCTGCAGAAACATTTGTATACGACCAAATTGAATGTGAAGTTGACGCAACAACATTTCACTTTTGTAGGAAAACCTATTCTGTACTTCCGTTTTAATACCAATTTGAATTTATAGGGCCAATTTGCGACCGATTTCTCGGACAGATATGACCTGCCTCTATTCAATGGTTTGTCTCCTAACAACAAGCAATGAAGTGCTGCCACGACGTCGTGAAGACGAGCAAGCTGACCGACAAGCTCACAACCACAGTGTTCTCTGACATGTTTAATATGGCAATTATCAACCAATTCACTGAGAAAAAGCTTGAAATAATCGAGTTCCTTTTAACCATGCCATGAAGTCCGTGTGGATATATATATATATATAGGACAAATTTGTACACGCTTAAGCATGAGTTTCTACTTACTCTTGTCGACTTTTTCCCTGTAACCATTTGCACTTCTTTTTGCAATCTATTTAACGTGATAATTAAGTGACAGTTTATAGACCTTTAATGTATCCCGAAGTAGATCTTCGGCAATCAACATTTTTAATCAAATACACGATTGCGTATAGCTCCTGAAAAGTGTGTTGGATAAATACACAAATATAAGTTGTCGATACTTTTCTCATTACTCCGTAAGCAATCAAGCATAAACTGGCGCATCTTAAACGTAAATGTATTAAAAGAATATTTTTTAAAAAATTAATGATAGAATAAAGATTAGGTATAAAAGTTTTTTGCTCTCAGGTTTCCTGTTTCCTTCTTTACTCTGGCTTGTTTTGTAATACAGTTACACGTATATTTTTATAAGGCATTGCTTGTAGTCGATGTGTATACAAAAGACGATTTTTATTTGGTCAATTAGTAGTAGTAGAAGAAAGTAGCAAGAATTGTTACCTAAAAAAATTGAGAGAAAAGCACTTTAGTGATATCTTCACACAAGTGGTCGATTTTAACGGTTGTTTATTCTCAAAGCACCAATTTTAAACTTTGACGAATGATAACCATTCTTCTAATATTCACAACAACATTTTTCTAAAGTTCAAGACGAAACATACTTTTCGATGTTTCTCACACCAGTTGGGCGTAACTGTTAAATTTTTACGTTGGATACATTCTTTTTGGGTCTCTAATAGTAAAATACATAGGCTTTGCTTATGAAAAATCTCATAGACAAAGCCCAGCGGCGTTTAATCGCATCATCTCGGGAGACGGAGCATTCGCCAGGCTTCTCCTTCAACAAGTTCAGCTTTAATATACAATGATAAGTGGCACCGCCTTTTTCGGATCTCGCACTCAAGTATAACTTGTCCAGTCTGAACCACAAAGAGTCTTTTAGCTTATTTCTATAACCAAAATTGGTCACATTTGACCGAAAATTATAATGTAGAACCGAATACTGAGGTGCTCGTGTAACACACGCTAAGTGGTATCAGGCGACCGGCAAGAAATTTTAATATTTGGATTCCCTGACATTTACTCAGCTATTGCAGTACCAACATTTGTGAAGCGTCTCCGTAAATGCTGAAGGCGCCAAATAACATATACGGACCCCGTCGTTTTAAACTTTTGCACAAGACGACTCAAAAGATTTTTGGGAGGTGTAACATACCTAACGGGCCGTGAACGATGTTATCGTAAACAGTGAGTCTCCAACAATCAGTTTCATAAAAAAGGTCGATGAGCCCAATTCTCCGGTTTAAGCTTATGAATCCTCACTCTGGTCCCGCAAATAGTAACTCCGTTGTATTTGCGTACTGGATGCTGAGCAAACTTTCAAACGTCAGGAACGAATAATGGATATTATTAAGTATATATGTAATCGATATTGTTTGGATTGACATACATCTGCTAGATTTACTTCAAGCGTTGTTCACATACTACAACTAAAGATTTGAAAATATTACTTATATAGGAAAAGCGAGGTGCAAAAAAGGCAAAGTAGAGCAAACGTAGATTTTTCACGAATATATTTACAAAAATCTTACGTCAAATCTGCTAGCCCGGGATTCTGTGCTTTGCAGCCAACAAAAAATGTTTAAGGCTAACTTACTCACACGTGCATAAGATATCTATTGTGAATCGAGTCAACTTCGCAAACGAATGCTTTCCTAGTATGCCTATTTTAAAAATTCCATTTAGTTTCCAAAAATGAATATATCTGGAAAGAGTATTATCAAGAAGTTCTTGTTTTGGTAACATTTTCTAAACCTACTTCACTTTTTGTTAATATTAAACAGCTGCCGCGGATATTTATGCCTCTATGATTAGTGAAGACTTTCTAACTGGGAGGGCTGCTTAAAAGAGTTTGCCAAGTTTGAAGATGGGGTCTCGGACTTGAAGTATATATATTTCGCCCCGGTTGACCGTCCGAAGACCTTGCCTGGCAAACAACTGGGTCATTCGCAGATAAGGTAACCCTACGAACATTCGACTATCGTCAGGTAACCAGATATTAGGAGCTTTGGTATACCTTAGAATGGGTGAAGCGCGCAAGGAAACAACGTGTCATTAACCGTAGACATTTAGCCCAGCACCAGGCAATACCAGCCACAATCACAGATCTTTGCACTAAATTGTTAACGGTGATAAGAAGTTGTGTCTCTACGTCAGTATAGAAGATAGAAGAAAGAAAAGAAGAGATACGCCTGAGTTTGATTTTTAACCAAATCTTCAATCCGAAAGAAAAACACGGTTTTTAATTGGAAGAGTCTTATAGACTGGTAACTTTTTGATATGGACAGAGAGGGTCAAAAAAGATCTGTGTACGGAACATTTGCATCGATTAAGTAAAGTTGTCCGACGGAAAATAGCAAATTGCAAGACAAAGCCATTCTGTTCCATGACAATGCAGGCGAGATACGGCCAAGGTCATTAAAAAAACCATGCGAAAGCTTGAGCGCTAGGTGCTCTCGCACGTACCATATACTGTAGAGCGGGCGCTTACGGATTATTACTTTTTCCGATTAGTGGCAAATTAAATTAGTAACCGTACATTTGGCAGTGAAAACAGTCTTAAAAGCACGGTAAAAAAAAAGAGCTTTTCAGCATCAGAACCAAACGTGTCCGGCGAAAAGGCAAGAATATGATAATTAAAAATGAAACAAGGTCATCGAACACATAATGATGTGTTGCTAGATTTCAAATAAAACGCTGCATTTCTAAGATGAAAAGGCGACATTACGTATGTTTCAACCTAATTATATACGTAACCGCACATAAGGTTCAAGTGGCGGAAAATTTAAACTACACACCGGAATCTCCTAAGGGCATCAAATGTTAAATAACAATGTGAGCTATATGTAACAATAGGTTATTAGTTGTAATATTATCCGCTATTTCAGTATTCCGCTGAAAGTTATAATCTCTCCCTCAGCGTTCGGTAGTTGATTGCCTTTAGTGACAACTTCGGAGTTAATTGTCATTACTCCAACTTGTAAATTCGATATTAATAACTGACGACGAAACTAACCGAATTTATCCTGTTCCAGATGTCAGGTCCTATATGGGATGCAGTAAGCAGTTCAGCAAAGGATCTTGTTTCTAAAATGCTCGTGCACAATCCCCTTGACCGGTAGGTGGTTTTCAACGAACTTCTCGAAAATGTCTTATTGGGCAGAAGCTCTGGCCTTCGTTGAATCGTAGCTCACATTTACCTATCTCAATAGCTGTGACATTTTTTTCCTATATAGGCGCACTAATCTGTAATTGCATTAATCTTTGCCCAACTTGAATGTTTCAAAAAACGAGTTACTTGTTGTTTTTTCAATTATCATTACATGCTAAGGATTGGCCTTTTCGAGAGTCAACTATTTTAGCCTCTGTCATGAATCAGTATTATGGCTTTAGGGTGACTTCTACTCTAATTTACTGTTTCATGAATAATTTCACTTGCAACACCCATATCTATTGTTACCTGTCATTTTGATTCACTTGCTGCTGACGAACTTCCTATAAATTGGTAATTCTATGGGACTTCATCCAGATTAAAGATTTTTAGATCTTATTCCAAATTTGTTACTTCTTAACTGTTTTTCTAAAGATCGGTTTTCTCCATACATCAGTATAATCGCTGCACAATCTCATTTTTGCTTTATGTTAACGCCTGGATCCCCAATAGAATTCATTTCGCAGGTCAAAGCCCTCACATCTCGTTGTTTCTGGGCGCTTAAATTTGAAACTACGCTGAAACGAAAAACCGATACACATTAGTGCTTCAACCCTTGTTTAGTAACTGTGTGTGTGTGTTTTTTTTCTTTTATTTATAATCAGTACATTCGTGTTGCTACTTGAATGTTAAAGATTTCTAATTACTGAGGATAGTTTAATATTTCGTTTATGAGCGACCTTTCAATCGCGGTATCGTTAGCCATTCTCATTCATTAATATAATGAGTATGATGATGGCTTTGTTTTCATTGTTTGTATATGGCGCCACTAGCATGATATCACAAACGAAAAGTTTATACCAACTACATCTCACTAAGAGCATTGCTATTAATGGGATGGCACGCGTTGCTACTTGTATTTAGTAGATGAATTAAGTAAACTAATCCGATATTACCTTTACATCTTAGGCTAGACAAAGTGGTCAATGTCATGTTTTTAAGTTTATGCAGTTCTCTTATATCTTCGTTACCTAGCTTTACATAAACATTAGCTATGCTATTGGAAGATTATTTCTAAATCTCGTTCTTAACATTCTGTCCGCACGTCTTTGGAGTAGTAACAGGACTCGATTTTCTTCCTTTTCTGCACTGCTGAGAAACTTAGCAGCTAAGCTTATTCCTCTGGTTCACCGATTCTACTGACAATAAACAAAAAAAAAAAAGACACTAAGCCTATGAGATAAAAAAACGAGGGTCTTGCGCTTAATGCTGGATCCATTGTTTGCCAAATAGTCGTTTAAAAACGAAAGATGGCACAAAATAGCAAATGTCCATCTTATGTCATTTGTTAGTTGTTTACCAGTGCCATTTCAAAAGGCAAAGCGCAAAGTGAAGACTGTAAAATCAAACTGGACTAATAGATTTTTTAGATAAGTTTTGTAGTGGAAAAACACATGTTTTTCCAGAAAAACACTGTGTTACTATTCAAGATAAGCTTTTACGGGCCAACGTAGATATATAAAGATTAATAACCCAATAGTGTTTTTGAATGTCCAAAAAAATTCTAAAGAAGCATCGTTTTCTTTACTGTAATCTCCCATTTTTACTTTCCACTGAGCATATTTAAGCTGTAAGAAACGTATGCAGGTTATCTGCTGCAGAATGAGCGTCCGATAGGTTTTCTTCTTCTTCTTCTTCTTCTTCATACAAAGTACTTATCTGTTTTTGATTGCAAGTAAAGCTTATCTTAAAGTGAAGTTTTAAACTCCTTACTTTTAAGATCGATGCTTTCTTCCGCTTTCCTTATTTGTCTGAGTAACGGGTCGATATCACTATACGTACAAATGTTCCAAATGCTACCACACCTCCTCAATATCTTAATATTAAGATATTGTCCCGCTCATGATTTTTCCAGTTCGACTTCTACGCGAGTTCGTACAATTGTCTAACCGCAACATCGTCTCTAAAGATAAACTGACCATTTTTTATAAAAGGCATATATTCTGTTTCTTGCGCGCTTAATATAATGTCATCTAAATTTAGCGACCCGTTGTAGACTATCGCACATGGTTGACATTTTTTAATATGAATGCACATAATTAGATTAAAGGTAATGTTAGAAAATTTCATTTCAATGAAATTTACCGAAAAAAAATCCTGAGAAAATTAGGAAACTTGCTAACTGAAACACTAATAAATCATTGGTCTTGTCGACTGCTATAGATAGGTTCCGCGCTTATGCTAATACATGATTAGCGGTATTGGTTACTAACACCTAGAGTGACAAGAAACAAAAGAAAACCTTCAGATAATCATATACGTGTTAATTAATACGACCAAACGGAAAAGCCATGTACAAATTATAATATATTGTATAAATTATTTAAGGAGTACAGGTTCTAGAGAGAGCACTAGAAGCATGTTTTGATCCTGCATCCCTAACAAATGGCTTTTTCTATAAAAAGAATTGCTATAGAAATATCACTTACACGAGCGCCTGCAACGAATGGACAATCCGGCGAATTCCGTTAACTGACAACGTCCTAATCAATCTACGTCAATCGTCATAAATCTCTCGTTGATCTCTCTGATGCGTCAAGCTCTTGTATCTCAACAGGGCTAGATTTGCAGTTCCGCTGATATGCAACAAGTATCATATTTAAACAAGAAAGTCTTGTAAATAGCCTAGTGAGACCACCAGTCACTTTGGCAGTTTCAAGGAGTTTCTAATCATAAGTATTCACACTTCTCGTAAGCTGCATAATAGAATAGATACTTTACCTAAAGTGTTGTTAAGTTCAAATCAGATCTTTTAAGAATTGATAGAGCTCAGTAAAACGACTGTTGTTTTTTCATAAAGACTATAATGAGTCGGGTCATTTTTTGCCGCGAAACACCGACAGTTTGTGAAAATTACATCACAAATTCTATATTATTAATCCAGAAAAGACGACTACGACTAAATCAGACACAGACTAGGCATATATGAAATAAAAATGGTTTTGCGCTTGGTTTTTCAGCTTTTAGATGTACTCAATACTTTACGCTATGGTCGGGGGCCTAGGAGTATTTGCAATATGGTAAAACATGACCTTCAGTATATTAGGTATTCGGTAATGTTTCATTAAATTGAAAATAAGGTACGTAGCAGCTTAGAGATAATGTTCGCTGCGCTCATTTCCGACGCAATTGATTTTTTGCCAGCAGGTGGAAAATTATACATCTCTTTTACGCAGATACTTCTGCACCTTCAGCTACAATAGAAATTTTCGGGGTAATCACTGTTCAAAAAGTGTGAAAATTTCAAGTCCAATGAATTCGAAATTTCGTTATTAGACTTCTTATGATTACTTATCATTAATAGTAACTGGTTTGAAAAGAGGACATAACGAGAAGGCCTTTTCTATGCTTGAATGTCCTTATATTTTTAGTTGGAAAAGTGGTTATCTCACAGTAACAGGTTCTCCTGAGTAATGCCTGCTCTGTAATTTTGACATCATAATATTCAAGATAGAAATTGTCGCTAATAATAATAAAAAATAAAAACTAACCAGAGATGAACACGATAAGTAATATATTTAGCACTTATGTTGGAAAGGAAAGCGGAAAGAATGGATGCATAGTTATACAGAAAATATGATGTTCATCTCTAAACTGAATCTTAAAAAAGTTTTTAATTTTTATAATAGATTGCAATATAAATTGTTTCAAGCGTAACTCTATAATAGGCATTATATGGTCTTTAACATAAAACCTCGCAGACTATTTTACGAGGTTCCAATTTTTTATGAAGTTAGAGTGTAATTTAGCACTTGCTATATTTCGTGCCAGTTTCTGCTAAGAGAGAGGGCAGATTCCTCAGTATACCGCCGTCGTACCGAACGGTGTGATGTGAATAGGGACATGAAAACCTTTCGTAGCTCAATTCGATCCTAAGGACGTATTTGCATTTCGAGGCAACTGTCCTAACTGAAAATAGCACTGACATAATCAATACGTAACGGGTGCCGCATTTTACAACATAAAAATCTCATTTTAGAATAGATAATAAAAAGTAAAATGTAGCAACAGCGTATAAGGAAAGGAACAGACATTTCGCTGAGACCGGTCTCAAGAAAATGATCGAAAACAGAAAAAATTGTGAAAACTAAGTAAGCTACTTAAGTAGTATAAAGACCTAAGATAATGTTTTTTTTTACTTAAAAAAAAGTAAACGAAGCTAGCACACTACTTAGGTTATTTTAAGAAATTATATTAGCTGTTATGTGATTGTTTAATAATTTCAAAAACAAGGAGGAATGCAGCAGACCAATTTCAAGCTGAAATGTTGTATATGACGCCGTGTATGTGGCCGATGTAAAATCGAATTTGACAGCATCAGTTATGTTAGAAGGTTTTCAGTGCATAAAAAAGTGCTTTTGATTGAGCGTCGTCATCAATTCAATCGGTCATATTTTCCCTAATACTCTAATATGGCGGGGCGAGCACAGCCTCGAAGAATTATAGGTGTAGGCACCTGCTAAAACAGATAAAAAACAAGAAAAAAATAACTACGCACAATTAAAAAAAAAAAGGAGATTCGTCCGTCACACATAATAAAAAGATACTTTTGTCTGACTGATAGAATGTGTTTAAGGCTTTGGTGGGTTATAAATTGTGTGTGTATTTCCCGTCATCCGCACATATCTTTTAAAAAAGTATGAAATTGACGAAAATAGAGGTATTGCTTTCTACATTATTTTTACAAAACGTTTGATTAAATGGATGCTTTATGTTTAAGGTATACGGCCGTGCAGTTATTGGAACATCCGTGGATCCGACAAAGAGACACCCATGCACCTTCAGAGCATCTACACGCTACTGTAGAGCAGCTATACCGATTCAACACCTGCCGTAAGCTTAAAGGTGTGCCTCTTTTTTTCATACCATTTACTCAGTTCCTATTCATTAACATCAGGCGTATGAGTTTGCTAAACTTTAACAAGCCAACAGGACCATGTGGCTACCGCTCGAAATTATTATTAACATAAGTCGAATTTTCATTAAGTAAGGCCCATTGTCTTTCGTCGAACAAGGACCAACAATGAAGATCGTTTGAGCTGATACAGTTGGCACAAACAAGGTCTTTTCGTCACGTAACTTTATATGTAATTGATCGTTATTTGCGTGTTGTTTTTAATTTATCTCGAGAATGGCACGGTGCACGAAAGAGTGCGTAAAAAGGAGATGATTTGTCTGCAAGCTCGATGCGCCTATACTGGTAAACTTACGATATTTATTTTAGTATTAGTGTTGCCGAAGTCTCGATGCAACTTATTCTTCGTGGAGGAAAGATTTGGAATATTTCTCCTTCAGCGAATTTTCTAATTCTAAATTAAAAAATGCTCTTCCAACTTTCTCTTTAAAGTTAATGTTTTGGACTTTTGATTAGAATTAATTTTTTTGTATTTATAGCCAATGCTTATTTAGAAATACGCCGGAGCGTATTTAGTGGTGGTTGCAACGGTTGCATTCGATAGTTTTCTTTACGGCTAACCAAAGATAAACAGCAAATCATATGGAAATGCTTTGATTAACTAATTATTACCTTTTCATATATATACACCTCAGATTAAATTATGTTTGATAATTCACTCTGGTCGATATCTTAACGCCAAAATGACAATTTCTTCATCATTTTATAAAATCTTCAAAAATATTAAGCATTTCAATTATAGTCTGCCTTGTGGGATGGAAAAAGTAAGTTCTTGTAAATTAAGTCCAAATAATCAAAGCAGGTAATATATATTAGTCACTTAGTAACCTACCTGTTGCAATTGAAGATAGGAGACAATTATCGTCAAGCATAACTCGAAAATTACTTGCAGTAAAAATCTTATTATCGCATGTTGATCTCACGTCCCAGTTATTAGTAGTCTATAGATGGTAACTCGCAGAGACATCTAGCGAATTTAGATAAAGTAAATGTTGTCCTCCTTGGATGAAATTAATTAATGCGCATCTCATCCGGTACACGTAACGAACAGCGTAGCGTAACATCACTTCCAAGTAAAGGACATTTTATAAAATTTGACTCTAGATTTCTAGACCGATAGATACAATGATGTTCTCCTATCTCGGTCTTTGTCAATTGACAGTTTCTATAAATCGCTCATACGTATAGAGAAATGCTCATAGGCCGCTAAGTCAGTATTGGTTTGGTAGTGAAAAGTTGTATTTGTCTCATTGTAGAAATTTTATCACACAGCCTATCAGGGCCACGGTAGACATTATCGTTACGGTAACCTTCTTACATATTTGACCAGAGAATGAACCTCGTAGCATTAATACGCCGCTCAATATGAACCAGGTAGACGATCTGGGGGACTAGTATTGAACAATGAATATGGCACCTCTCCTTCAATGCACGCATTTGTGCAAGTAGTGATCTCTTTGAAAGAAATTCTAATACCGAGACGGTTTTTTACCAACTACTAAAAACTCGATACTCTATTAGAAGAAACGTAAACTTGAATATTTCATTTCCTATTGATACACGTCGTATGTTATAGGCAGCTAAATACAAAAAGGTGTAACCTTTATATTTGACATGTTTGAATCTATAAGCGATAAGTTGCACATATTTGCCATTTGAAAAATAGACTTAATATGCAGGCTTTCCGCGCCAGTAAAAAAAAAAACCTAACAACAAGTGTCTTTTACGCGTCATCTTTTCTGAGATCCGAGATGTGACCCGTTCGATTTTTCGGATAGCTCTATCATCTATATATACCAAATGGTGTAACTTCCAAGGAACAATACAAGGTTTGGTTTGAATCAGAACAGGGTCACCATGTGTGAGTCCTACTAGTACTTTTTAACTCGCCTTGACTTTATAACATATCCGTCAACAGGCTGTCTCGAAAGTACAATATTACTGACGAAGGTTGCGTAGTTGTTCCGCAAAATTGATGATAAGCGATGAGTTGATAAGTAAGTTGATGCTAAAGGTACACAGAAACATTGCTAACAACTTACCGTTAGCATATCGGTTTAGTATATCAGCGTCCAATGCTAAATATCATATTTAGCTAGAGTATATAACTAAATTCTTATAAAAATGGGCCCTCTACAGTTATTTCTCAGTCTCATTATACTGCAACATATTTGTAAATTATATAATAAAAATAACTTCTTTCATACAACAAAGAAGCTATTTTCTATACTGAACGATTCGCCTGCTAAGCACATGCATCATGCTATGTCATTTGTCCATACCATTATGGAAAGATAACGAAACTAGCCGTTTGTTTTTTACTTTAAGCATAAGTACTTAATTGATGTTCCGCCTTGAATCAAAGAATATGTTGACCCCTAGTTTTTTTTTACTAACAATATACTAATGATATTAATGTTGCTATATGAACAGAAATTCAGGCCATTTGTATAACAGTGAAAAAAAAAAACTCACAAAGACGCAACTGCATTTCCTGGTAAATTTCGGTGATGGTATCTTGATTTCTGCCATCTATGTTGTGTTTTATTAAGAAAACCCTCCGAAGATCATAACGTTATAGGCATTAAGTCAGTGGCCGCATCGTAAAAAAAGTAAGTATTGTGTGAGTTTCCTGGAGTGAACCTCTGGCTCCATCAGTCCCTTATACATTGTAGAAGCTCCATAGATTTGTAGCTCTTCAATTATCCATTCGATGCCGATCATATATATATATATGTATATATGGTAGTCTAGAACCGTATTTTTGGTGTGATATTTTGACCATAACAAGTTCTTACTTACTTAACTTAGAAGGGTTTTAATATAAAACGATAAATTCCGATGCCCTACATAGCACATTGTGTAATAACGTAAACAAGAAATTCGTTATCGATTGTTAACAATTGAAGAAACTCCTTTCGGGTTCTTTTTCAATGTTTGCTAGCAAATGAGCTGCAATAACAGCGAATCGCGTCAACAATGATCCACTCACGCAGAATTACAACCTTTTCTTACCACCTTTAGCGCAGTCTATAGAACAAAACTATCGCAAAGGTCACATGCCTATACTTAATAATTTTATCTAACATGTAAATTGCAAGTATTTGAGGCCATATCATCCGTCCGAGGACCTCGTCTTGTCTGTCATGTTCCTATAAGTAATCGGCTCCCTAGGATTGCGCTCATGGGTTGTGATTTAATCGTTTTTATTGACACTCCCATATAGCGCTCGTTCGCGTACTTTGTTCACCAGTAGTAACTTGTGTTGGTCCATGTCAATATATCAACGTAGTGGATTAGTATTCACTGTATCATTAATCCACGCTCCCCCTTTAGCTACTTGCTGTGAGCCTATAGTAAGTGTATACACACATGTCTTTTCCACCGCAGTACGGCTTACTGAAACTGTGCTTTCTATCGCGTTCTGTACCTTTTTTTTTTCTACCATAGCACCGTCCTTCAACTCGGCCTTCTTGGTTCTCTGCTTTTGCTGCCATGCTGTTTCCAGCTGTTGGTAGCATCGCTGAGTCGTTGCAATTCCCGCTACAGACACGACTGCTATTCTGGATGGGGGGGCGTTTCTGTTGTTGCTAATAGTTTGCATGTTCCATTTGCTCCCGTGGCCTTCCACGACGAGGGTCTTGTCTATGAATGCTTCCGACTGTCTCCCATTTTCCTTCGTTTCTACTTTCTTAGAGTTTAGCCGAAGCCGATCTGTATCTTGTGGTTGGCTCGATCGGTTGGCCATGTAGAGACTGCGCGAATTTGGAAGCACACCACTATTAATAGCGCCCCAGGTTGAACGTTTCTTTAAGTGCGTATGTGGGCATGCTCACGCGTAGCTCGTCTCGAGATACTAAAGCAAGATATTTTCTGTATGTGTAATTTGGCTGCAATAAATAAGGCCGGGGGAGTACATTTGTTAACTATGTAAGACACGTATGAAAGACATTCAACCCTTTGCTCTCAGCCACATTGGACACAACGGCAGCAAAGGCTGACCTTTTCCTAATAAACTTTTGTTGACTACTGTTATTGTTGATTAAATACTAGGCTTTCTCGTACCTATTAAGATATAGCCGTGAATAGATAATGGTCCACCCAGTTTAAGAGTAATGTGTTGAATAGCATATTTGTTGTTCCTCTCTATGAAAATTGTTTAGTACAGGAAGACCAGCAGGCTCTGCAAATCTAAGTGCAATAGATAACAGCCTGTACCTGGCATAGACCAGGGAAAGACATCGTTTTTCTTTAGGTGGGTGTTCACAAACGATGACAAGTGCAAAGCCAATTAATGATTTATCGGCAGTTCAGTGAAATTAATTATGCCTACAAAACCGACTGTTTAAGGTTAAATTTGATTTCCACGCTAGTGAAATGAACGAACAACCACAGTGTCCCCCAACGGATCTGCAAGTGATATCCAATGATTCTTCCCTATTTTCTCCGATACTTCAACCCTTTAAATGCACTTGGTGTCCTTTTTGCAAAAGCGCTGATGTAGAAAGGCCTCGGAGTTCGCAGAATTATAAGAATCCAGTTTGGTAGAATTCGATTCGAATTTTTATATATATTGTTTAAAACCAATAGGGTTGTTTATATTTTAAGGTACCCTTAGCACAATTAGATTATTAAATCTGCGTCCATTCGAATGATATCCAATCATTAATATATTTTTCGAATTCTTATAAGTAAATTTGGTGTCCATAGTGATGTGAACCCTCATTCAGAGTTCCCAGAACAAATTTATGTTCCGAACCCCTAGACTTATCCGTGCCGGCTAAGATCTACTTCATCAAACCTACAAATTCGGACCGAGTAATATTTTCTATAACGCACGGTCTGAAAACTCTTAACTTCGAAAGTCGCTTTACAAAAAAAAAAACGCGACTTTTTTAAATGCTCGTTCGGATTTCATAAATGAAAGCCG